GGGGAGCATGTGGCCCAGCTGCTGGCTGTTCAGTAGGCTGTTATCTGGGCTTAGGGCTTCAGTGAGGAGGTTGGCTGAGCAGCCTGCTGTGTGTCTAACCAGGGCAGTGACTCAGCTGACTGGAGTAATCACTGCTTGTTGATTTCCTGGGGCGGGGGTGAGTGAGGAGGCGAAAGCCCGATCACAGCCCGCTAACCACAATTTCTAAATATGCTGGAAGGCTGCACTCAGAAGTTCTGCATGGACCTCTGAAGAAATTCCTCATGTCACAGAACTCTGGGACTTAAAGGATCCTAGGAGATCCCATCTGAAGAGGTAGACAGCCATATGTCTGGAGGTAAAATTCCAGCAAGACTTTTGGACTTCTGCCAGTGGCTGACATTCCTAAGGCTGTGAGGGGGCTGGAGAGGTGGCTCCATCTGTAAAATACTGTTCAGATCTCTAGTACCCAGGAAAGAGGCTGGGTACAGTTATACACACCAGTGGCCCCAGTACTGTGGAAGTGGGGACGGAGTCCTTGCTGCTCATTGGCCAGGCAGCCAAGCAGAATCAATGGGCTGCAGGTATTTTTTTGAGGTACTCAAAAAAATAAGATGGAGTGAGATTAAGGAAGACAGCCAACATCAACGTCTGCCTTCTACACCTACCCGCACCCACGTGCACCCCTTGCCCCAGAATGTAAGTGCCAATAAACGGTGTAAGAGAGTAAGGCAGTTAAGGTGGAGGGCCACATCTCTTGCCAGATACAGTAGGTGGATAGCACACCCAACCCTAGGCCATTAAAAGACTTTACGATGATGGAAATGGATTTCTATCTGGATCATTCCTGCTTTTATGTCCCAAGAAAACAGTTCATCTTTTACTTAATGAAAGGAGGATAAATTTAATCTAAAATGTAATGTTCAATCCTGAGCAAGCTTTCTTTCTTCCTACCTGACTCTGTAATTCATACAACTGCACAGAGAAATGGATGAGGACTACCTTCCCAGATCTTTTTAGTGTGTGTTTATGAGTGCAAGCATGTGGGGGGGGGGGGGGGGCTCGGGTGCATGTACCTGTGCACATGAGGACCAGAAGAGAATGTCACATCTCTCAGAGTTTGACTAGATTGGGCTTGATGCGTGGGCCCTGGGATCTGAACTCTTGTCTTTGTGATTGCACAGCTAGTACTCTTAAGCACTGAGCCAGCTCTCTGGCCCTGTTCTCACTACCCAGTTCACAAGCATGGTATATTGTCTCTTGCCTGCAGATCTTTTACTTTGCAGTCAAAAGCTGCAAAGCATGTGAATACATTTTTAAATCCACACAATGCACACACTATCAGGAAAACTGGTTTCTGCTCCTCTCAAGATTATAGCGCTGATTCTTAGGGTGCAAATACATTTAATTAAGAGGAAAGGGAGGCAGTCATGCTGATCATCGTTGCTAATAAGGCAAGTCGTCTTGGAGACACTCAGCAATAGAATGTCTGCTCTGGGGATGTCCAGCTCCAGCCATGAGGGGCCTCTTTGCAGCAGCCTCCTCCTGTGATTGACACATTCATCTCTCTTGCCCCTAGCGTCCTGGTGATGAGGCTTGCCTCTTTATTTTTATCTGACCCGAGGCCAGCTGCACTGATTCCAAGATAGGGAAGGACCTGGCGTGGCATCTGTCCCTTCAAGCTGGCCCACTGAAGCAAATAATTCCCAGGCGCTTCACTGGGAGAGCAGATCCTTTTCATTCAGCCTGATACACGCCAGCTCTCTCGCACTTACTCTTGTTTGCCAACGAGACAGCACTGTATTATTTAGCCATGAAAGCCAGGGACATCACTAAAAGTGGCCTCATGTTACTGCCTCACAGGCCTATTAGCCATCTCATTTTGCCTTTGCACATGTCATTGAGATGCAAAGCGGCTCTGGGTCTCATTATGGACAAGGCCCTTTGTTGGACTGGCCTGGCCCCAGTGCCTTGGCTTTGCAGTTCTTCCTCCCTCTGGTCCCCAACAGGATACTGGTACTTTGACATTCGCTGAGTCAGAACTGAGATATACCTACAGCCAGGGAAGAATGCCACTGAAATGATGGGGACCACCAAATCTCCCTTCAGATGCCAGCCACAGACGCTCCTTTGTTAAAGCAGCCTGACATAGAACTTTGCTGAGGAGACTGGGACAGATGACAGTCCGCTACATTGTCATTGGAAGGTCAGGGGAGGAGTGTGTTCTATGATTATGGCTTTCCTTCTCTACTTTTTTTTTTAAACACCTAGGCAAGTGGCCATGCTTTCTTCTATTGTCCATCAGCTGCTAGACTCCACTTCCATGTTAGTGACCTTCTAGCTGTCTCTCCCCTTCTTTGGTCACTCCCTGTTTCTGGACAGCTTGCATTCTCAGTAGGAAGCAGTCAGTGACCTTGAATGAGTTCCCTTTGTCATACCCTCCTCCTCCTCATGCCTCTCAGCCTTTTCAGCCCTAAACACAAGGTCACAGCAGCCCTTGTTTCTGGTGTAAAGATTTGATGAAGCCATGTGCTGCGCAGCGCTTAGCCCACAGCCAGGCTGTTGGTGTTTCGATCTGAAATGTACCCACAGGTTCATCTTATGGATACTGGACACCATGCTTGTGGTGCTATTTGGAAGGCTCTGGAACCTTTAGGAGGTGGGGCCTGACTGGTGAAAGTAACCAGGTGAGGGACTTGGAAAGTCATGCTTAGCCCTGGTTTCATTCTAGCTCTCTGTTTCCTAGACAACTTAGATATGAGGGCTCTCCACCACATGTTCACATGGCCAAGGACTTCATGCACGCCCCACCATGAGGAACTGAAACCCCTCTGAAACCATGGGCCCAAATAAGCGCCCCCTTTCCTTAAGTTGTTTCTGTAGATATCTGATCACAGTGGCCAGCCTCCACAGCTATTGAGTGCCTGCTGCATGCCTGTGTTGTCTGAAGTGCCAATACCAAGAGACCAGGCTGTGTGCCTATGGCTTTCAGTCCTGTCGATATGGACCTTCATCAGACAAGCACACAGATTTGTTTCCAAATTGGGCCAAGAACTAGGAAGTATAATAGGTAGACCCTGAACTTAATCAAAGGATGTTTTAAATATCATTTGAGTGGAAATCAGAAAAGGCCTAGGAGTGAACCAGGAGAAAAGGGTGTCTGGTGCTGACCAGTCAGCCCTCGGGCACATTGGAACAAATGAAGGAAAAGTGTCATCATCTTAGGGCAGATGTGGCCCCGCACCATGGGGCAGGACTGAGTAAGCAGATCACAGGCTGGGATGTAGGGCCCTGCATCTCCTCTGCTGGGCGTCCTGGAGAAGAGAGCAACCTGAACAGCTATCCTCCTGCCTCAGGGCTCTGGAGACACTTTTTCAGAGGAGCTGAAAGGCCAGGTTGGCTGGAACTTGGAAACAGGCCTGGTGGGGCCAGAAGGTGCTCGGCAAATATCAGCCGGTGTTGGTACATTACAGTGTTATTCTCTAAGTTCACTGCCGCCAGACCAAGGTCTCCTTAGAAACGCCAAGGTCTCTGGAAGCCATTTTATCTAGTGAGGGGCAGTCACTTCAGGGATGTGAAGTGGCCGTGACACACCACTGATTTCTAGCATATGGACACTGGAAGAATGGATGAGCAGACACTGCCTGTGGAAAGCAGGGCACTCCAGGGGCAGAGCATTGCAGCCAGAAAAGCAGCTCTTAAGCAAGAAGAGGCAAAACCAGAAGCAGCAAACAAAAGACCGTCTGATGGGGCTAAAAGTGGAAAGTGAACATTAGGGAAAGGTTCTCCCAAAGCTGTGTTCGCAGGGGCTGATTATCTCTATCGAAATGTCTACTACATTCTCCACTGGCTGGAGGACGGCCAGCCAGCCGGAAAGCCAGAGCCTGCTGCGACACTACACCCCTAGACAGGGTCTCGGGAACCACACTGCCTTCCTGACTTTGATTTCTTCTATTTTGGAATAATCTAAAAGCATTTATTCACCCAAACATACTGTGTCAAGGTTCTCTCTCTCCCTGTCTCCCCCTCCCCTTTTTTTCTTTTTCTTTCTGTCCTGGAGGTTGAACCCAAGGCCATGTGCACGCTAGGCTGCCCTGTGCTCAGTCGCTGAACACTTCCCAGCCCCCTGCCACTCACTACTCTGAGTTTTTGTTTTGAGAGGCCTCACATAGCCTCAAAGTTGATATGTAGCCAAGGTTGACTTGAACTTAGGCTCTTCCCACTTCACCTCTTAAATGGTCGGATGGTGTGTGTGAGCTACCAAGCTGGTTCGTGCAATGCTTAAGTTACAGTGTCGCCCGCAAAGGCTGGTGTTCTGTCTCTTGTCCTATGTCGATGTAGTCTTGTGGTGATGACATGGATGTTGCATCTTCAAGACCAACGTGTAGCCCGAGTCCTTCAAAGGAAGACTGGGCTAGCCCCGATTTAAGAGCACACACTGACTGGACCTGGGAAGTGGCTCAGCTGGTACAGTGCTTGCTGTGCAAGCTTGGGGACCCGAGTTCAGATCCCCAGGACCCATGTAAAAAGCCGGGTGTGGTAGTGGGTACGCCCCAGAGCTGGGTGTAGGGGGCAGACGTGAGACAGTACCTGGTGTCTCCTGGCCAGCTGAACCAAGGAGCAAGGAGCTCCAAGTTCAATTGAAGATCCTGTTTCAAAAAACACAGTGGACCATAATCAGGGCAGACACTGGCTGTCAGCCTCTGTCTTCCACATGTGCAGACTTGGATACACGTTCCCCCTATACAGAGAGAGAGAGAGAGAGAGAGAGAGAGAGAGAGAGAGAGAGAGAGAGAGAGAGAGAGAGAGAGAGAGAGAAAGAATAACAATTTTGAAAAAAATCCCAGCTCTAACAGGAAATGCTAACTCAAGCATACACTCTTCCATCAAAAATGACATTTTTGCCCTCTAAGATGGGGATGAATGAGGCTCTTAATCAGGAAGACTATTATGTTGTCAAAGGCATTGCCAGGATGAGGGATGGATTCTCACAGAACTATGACCATTTTATTGCTTTTCAGCCCCCGGCCACCAATCCCCCTGTCCCTGTTACTGACAGAAGAAGAAGCAGCAATCATCATCCAGTCCTTCTGGAGAGCCTATCTGGTAAGGGCCACCTGTGAGTGTGACACTGAGCATGATTGGGACTTGTTGTGACATGGTGGGCCAGTGGGAAAATAGATTCATCTGAAATTGAATGCTATTGCTCACATATAGACCGACCTCAGAGATTGGAGTCTCTGCAAACAGAGGGATTTGAATTTTATTTTTTTAATCAAAACTTATTTTACAATTATCATAAAAGATACATTTGAGGGTTGGGGCAGTTGTAAAAGTGCCTGTCATATGAGCTGAGATCCTGAGTTCATATTCACAGAATCCGTATAAAAAACTAGGCATTGTGCCTGTAATCCTAACTGTGGTTAGGGTGGAGGCAGGCAGATCTCAGAAGCTCATTGGCTACCCAGTATAGCTTACAGGATGAGATTCAGTGTCAGTGAGAAACCTGCTTCAAGAAATAAAGATAGTCATTAGGAGACCCCTGACTTCAAACTCAGGCCTACTCACACACTCATGTGCGCACACACAAATACCTTCCAACTTTCTAAAGTTGGGTTTGACTGGCCTGTGTTGCCTAAAAATAGTATTGCAAGTCAGACATGGTGGTGCACACCCATAATCCCAGCACTTTGGAGGCAGAGCCATGAGGACCACAAGTTCAAGCAAGACCACCTTGGGCTGTAAAGAGAGATTCTACCTCAAAACAACAAACAAAAACAAAAAACAAAAAAAAACAAACATACAAACAAAACCCAAAAGGTACTATTTCATGTAAACAGAGAGGAATACACGTTGTTTTCGAAAAGAGCAAGAAAATTCAGATAAAGCAAACAAACTTCTGAGTCACTGACGACACAGTCATTACCAGCATCTTGGGGTCAAACTCAATACACTCGAAACCTCAACACATGGAATGCTGCAGACATGTCACATGGAGAAAATCACCTTTTCTGTTGTGACTGGTTTTTCAAACAATTTTCCTATTTGAGAGGTTGAGATTATTTCAAGATCTCCATGATTACAGTCAGTGTTGTTAACAGCTGTGGGCAGCCGGGTTTGCAACTTTTTCTGGCCACTTAACATAGGAGAAATTCTAGAAATAGAATGTGTAGGTCAAAGGTGAGCTTCTAAAGAGTTCCTGATCCACGCTGTCATGAAGCCCTTCAGCAAAGATATACTTTAAAAGATGGATGGCCAAAGACGTATTGGAGTGCCACGTGTCTCTGTGCTAAATTGTATGCAGCCTCTAAACTATCCGGTGATTGAAAAGCAACATTAGCAAGCTTCCAGGTGAGTGTACAGTGCCTGGTCCAGGGGGCAGTGCCCCCTCCCACAGCTGAGGGGAGGCATCAGTGGCACTGCTCAGATTCAACGTCTTCTTATTTTTAGTCAGCATTAAGTACATCCACAGTGTAGCTCGTGCATCACCGGCACCTCCATCTCCAGAGCTTTTCATCTTTCTCAGCTGATGCTTTTCACATCAAGCACCAACTCCTTATTCCCTTGTCCCCTCCCAGCCCCCAGCCGTCACCAGCCTGCTCTCCATGTTCATGAATTACAGGAACCTTTTGGTGATGGTGAGTCTTCTCTGTGGATGTGATAGGATCTCAAGTAACCTAGGAGACACCTCTTGTACACGTGGGACAGTGTTTCCACAGGCTTAGTTGGGGTGGGAAGACCAACCCTGAATGTGCACAGCACCAACCCATGGGCTGGGGTCTTGGGCTGAATAAAAAGGAGAGAGCAAATTCATCTGTCTGTTTCCTGACTGTGAATCCAATGTCACCAGCTGCCTCAAGGCCTTGCCACCATAACTTCCATAACATGATGGACTACACCTTTAAACCACAAGCCAAAATAAGCCCTTCCTGTCTGTGCTGGCTAGTTTTATATTAGCTTGACACAAGCTAGGGATATCTGAAAGGAGGACCCTCAGTTGAGAAAATGTCACTATAAGATCCAGCTGGTTTTGTATGATGCTGGAGACCAAAGTTAAGGCTTCATGAATGCTAGGCAAGCATTCTACCCACTAAGTCATGTGCCCCAGCCACACTATCTACTTTTAAAAAACATTCTTTACATTCATTTACTTATTTATTGCAAGTGTGAATGTGTATGTATGAGTGTGCATGTGCACATCTGTGCCACCGCGTCTGTATGATGGTTAGAGGACAGTGTTTGGGAGTTAATTCTTTTCTTTCACCATGTGGGTTCTGGGGGTGGAACTGAATTCATCAGGCTTGGTGGCAAGTGTTTATAATACATACCAATTATGGAAAAAATAAACAATGCAGATCACTGATTGGTATTTAGCCTCTTAGAATTTTCTTATTCATATGGGAAATTTTACTTTGTTTTAAGATACTGCACTGGGCCCATGCTCTCCTCTTCCTGACAGATTGGGAATAACTTGCCTTGTCAGCAAAGATCTACCCCACGAATGTTGATGGTTCTGTGATATGCACCAATGTTTTATTTCTGTGGATAACTTGAATTATAATCTGTTGACCCATGAGCAGTCCAACATTTATTTTAGTCTGCTTTGTAAGCTGCAATTTAAGCAGAATGTCCTTGCTCACACTGACTGATTTTGTCTGTAAGGTTAATTGCTGGTGGTGGGTGGCGTTCATAGCTTAAGGACTAAGCATCCTTCACCACCACTTCTCATTGCTAAATTACTCCAGAGAGGCCAGAGTCTCACCATGAGACATGCCCGGGTGCTCACCAGCAGTGTATTCCCCCAAGTTTTGATGGCTCAGTGGAGGGAGGAAGGCAGAGATGGGGAGGGAGCCTGAAGCGTGCCTGGGGTCAGTGGAGTTCTAAGGACATCATGCTGAAGGAAATAAATAGGAAGAGTGAGCCCTTGCTCCGTGTGTAGGTTGTGTATTGCACAGCTCTCAGAGGCTGTCATTCAGGCCCACAGATTGCCCACCTCTGAAGCTTTGAGAAGCTTGGGCATTGGGGTTGACTGACTGTTTGTTCTACCATTCTTTACTTAACCCCACTGGCCTTGGCAGCTCCTATCTCTAGGTTTATGGCCCTCCCTTCCCTCAATAGCTGGAGACCAGCTGAGGTAGGGGAGAGGCATCTGTGTGTGATCTAGAAGTGACCCTTTGGTCCAGAGTCTGTGGATTTTCTTCCTGAAGCTGTGTAGAATTTAGATTTAGTAAGGTGTGTGCACAGATATTACTCAATGATGGAGTAATCATGAAATAATAATCAATACAGTAATATTCAGAGACCAAAAGTAATAAACACAGAGCATGTCTAGTCCAGTACCACAAATAATAATAATTCAAAATAATACTACAGACAGGGGTTGGACAGATAGCTCAGTGGTTAAGAGCACTTGCTATCTTGCAGAGGGCCTAAGTTCAGTTTCCAGTGTCCACGTCAGGCCTCTCACAGTGGCCTATAACTCAGCTCCAGGGAATCTAACACCCTTTTCTGTCCTCCAAGGGCACCCACATGCACAGAAACCCCCCCCCCACACAAACATAAATGAAAAATAAAATTAATATATATTAATGTATGTAATATTATATATAAATATGTGCGTATATATTTATATATATATAAAGAATACCAGGCCTCAAGTCCTGTGAACATTTTGATCTCAGACCTAGGACCCTCTGGCTGCCTAAAAGACAGGGCATTCTGAGGACTTTAAGTCACAGGCAATGGGCGCTCGAGCCATTTCCACTTGATTTATTTAACCTGTCCCCACCCCAAACCAGGCCTTTCTGTTTGGAAAAGACCCGCCCTAGCCTGGCAGGTAGGGATCTGATGTTGACCACAGCAAGGGTGTTGAGGCTGTAGGCTGAGCAGCGATGGAGACACAGCTGAGAATGCCAGGGAGAGCATTGCCACTTCCTCCCCGTCACCCATGGAAAGCGCAGCCCCGTCTGAACAGCAGGAAGAGCAAGTTGGCTCTGAGTAGGGCAGCTGGCTGGGCTGCTAGGCCTGACAGCTTTTCCTTCTTCCAAAACTCACTGGAGCCTCTGAAGGTTAAATGGGAAGAAGGTCAGTCCACAGGAGGAATGTGGTCCTGCTGGGCATAGAGCATTGTGCTCTTGTGGTTATCAGTTCTAGTTTCCTTAAGAAGGCGACTTTTAAACAAGCTGTGTGGCCTCCTTGCATTCCTCTGTGATGTCAGGCAGGCTCCTGTCTCAGGGCCTTTGTGCTTGTTGATTCTTTCCACCTGCCACTCACCAGTCATTGCTCTCTCTCTCCTCACAGAGGCTCTTCTCCAGGGTCTTCCTGGCCCCCTCTTCTAAGGCAGAACCCTCTCATCACACCTACTCTGCTTGCTTTCTTGTCATTTCTTGTCACCTGTTTAACATGGTAGTCAACAGGCATCTGTTTGACTCTTTGACTGTTGGGCTCATTTGCTGCTGACTCCAGCCTATCTCTATTGACATTGTGCACTCTTAGAATTTTATAAATGAGTAACTGAATCCTTAAATCATCTTCAAGAATGAATAACAAACGAGTTTGTTCCATTTTATGAGCCCTCCTCTGTGATTTACACAGGCACTTAAACATGAGCTCCTGGGGGGAGTCGCTCATGCACCAAGATCCTTGACCTTAACAGCTGCCCCCATTAATCTCCCAGAGATGGCACATGGGAAGAGGCTACGTTGAAATTAGGGAGAGGGGGGTAATGTATTTACTCTCTCTCTCTCTCTCTCTCTCTCTCTCTCTCTCTCTCTCTCTGTGTGTGTGTGTGTGTGTGTGTGTGTGTGTGTGTGTGTGTGTGTGTGTGAGAGAGAGAGAGAGAGAGAGAGAGAGAGAGAGAGAGAGAGAGAGAGAGAGAGAGGATTCATTTTATCAAAGGTATGTGTGACCCAGCTCCTCAGCAAGCCTTGCAATTTGAGAAACTGAAGAAGGTTGAGATGACAACCCCCCCCGCCCCTGCAGACTGGACCCCAGACATCAGCTCCAGGTTTGTGCGTGTGTCCTGCAGGGAAGATGGAATCTCCTTCTGACACTGATATCTGCTAGCAGGTGCACAGACCCTGCCATCCCAAGTCAGACATGGGATT